GTTGCTAGGGGGACGATTATTTGGGAAATCTGGAAGGAAAGAAATAGGAGAGTGTTCAAAGGTAAATCGCTATCTTGGGAAACAATCTTAGAGAAGATATTGCATTCGGTATGGATGTATCTATCTGTGCAGAAGGTTGGTAGAGACATTATTGAGATTGATGTAAGGTTGAACTTGAACTCTCTTTTCCAGTTAGGGGTTCATAGATGTAGAGCAATTGGAAGATGGAGTCCGCTTTCTTATGGGGTTTTTAAATTGAATTTTGATGGTAGCTCTCTTGGAAGCCCCGGTATTGCAGGTTATGGAGGAGTTGTGAGAGATTGGGTGGGTCGTGTTCTTTTTACTTATGTGGACCCCTTAGGTGTTCAGACTGCCAATTATATGGAATGTTTTGCTCTTATTCAAGGGCTTAGGCTTTTTATGTCCAATAATATAGGCTCAAATTGTGTGGTGGAAGGGGATTCTTTAAATGTCATTAGCTAGTGCAACAACATTAAGAAGATTCCGTGGGTGCTTTGATCCTTCCTTCTTGAAATATTGGACCTTTCGCGAGCTCTGTCGATTTCCTTTATTCATGTTCTTCGAGAGGTAACTGGCTTAGCAGATTCTCTAGCCAAACAGGGTGTTTCACTTTTTGAGATGGTGGTCTTTGATGTATCTTTTGTTTAACATCCTGTACTTCTTTGCCTTTGATTAAATTTCTGGAATTCTTGTCAAAAAATAAAGAGAAAGCGAGTGAGAGATAGAGGGATTGATGTGGAGAGAGAAAGAGAGATTGACATGGGGAGAGAGCGAGAGAGATTGATGTGGGGGAGAGAGAGAGATTGACGTCGGGGAGAGAGAGATATAGTCATTGAGTTTTTTTTATTTTACTTTTTATTTTTAGCTTGTATTTAAAAAGTGTAACTTTTTTTTAGAAGAAAAACTTGGATATTTGATAGATAGTTTTTATGAATTAATGAAGAAAAGATAGCTTCTTCTTCTCATGGCTTGATTACCACCTTATTTTTTCCATATTTGTTGAAGTTTTACTTGTTTAAGATCAAAAGAAGGCCAGATTTCATTTTCTAGGCTCCTTACACATCAAAGACAGTTATTTTCGAATGATAAATTTTAGATTTTCAATCTAAACAAATCTTTTAAGTTTACAATATGCTCCAGGGAGCACAATATAGTCCTTCTTTCTAAAGCAATTTACGTGTTTATATTTGATGCAGGTAACAAGGTTCGAAACTTGAAGTTCCGTATGGACTTTTGGTTGAAAAAATAACTCAATCTGGAACTTATTATTCCAAACCAATTGATCACTAGAAATTTTTTTAAATATATATGACCTAATTCGGAACTTGAAACTCCAAATGGGTCTTTCATTAGAAAAAGAGAAGTGATTTACTTTAGAACTTGAAGTTCCGAATTGGTTTATCACTCGAAAAAGATAAAAGGAACTGGTATCGCTAAAAACAAAAAGACCCCGCTTTGAAATATCAAGTTTCGAAGTTGGCGTATTATGGAAAAATAAAACTCCTACTTCGGAACTTGACAAAGGTTAGATAAGGGTAAAATATGAAATATAGTGGTCAACTTTTAAATTCCACACATTTTTTTTGACACAGTTAACTGGTATAAATTCCACAACTTAATAGGGGATTGTTTAAATTCCGCAACTTATAGAGATTGTTAATATAAATTTTTCATTTCTATAAATTTGGTCAAGCATACTTCACAAGTATTTGTTGTGTACATTCATGCTCCATTGCAGCATGACACAGCATAAATACAAACAGAAATGATGGACCGTTTTGTTGCCATGTCAAAGACAATGCCTAAAAAAGGTATGTAATGTGAGAGTTGCTATTGCTACTTCCAAGGTCGAGGTACACCCCGCATTGGATATCTTAGGATCAATAATGTATTATAATTGAGGCATAGTCATTTTTTACTTCTTATCACTCTCCTTTATGTTCTCTTTTAAATAACTTCACTTCTACGCCACATGCTTAATGGCTCATGCTGCCAACCTTTTCTTTCACTCTTACTTTCTTTTTTTTTTTTTTTTTTTTTTTTTTTTTTTTTTTTGTTACTTCAGTGGGAAAGACAGACAGACCCTCACCCATTTTTTCATATAGACTAGGGAGTTAACTTTTTTTGAAGGTATCTATGGGTGGTGCTAGTAGGATTGAAAACCATAACGTGGTAACTACGTATGGGGTTACTACCGCCACGACCTAACCCCTTTTCTAAAAAATCATTATTTTGCCATCTTGACATTCTTTTGCTTTGAAGAAGCCTTCTTCCCACTTACCTTCTCTCGCAGCCTTGGAGAAATTCCTCCTCTTTTCTCCGCATCAATGACCCTTGGAGAATAGCGTCTTTGTCCTAAGTGTGCAGGACTTCAATTTACTTTTTCACAAATCCATATAGGTACTCCATTCTCCAAAGAGTTAAGAGTTTGTGGAAAAGATGATATTGCACAAGGCTTTATATCAATCATTTATTCATAAATCAGCCATCATGATGTAAGAATAAAACTTTACATAATTATCCATAACCATGAAACCCTTCTTAAAGAGGGATAGGAAGATGTCGTACTTCAATGTTCGGCTTTTTCCTGGAATCTCTGAGAAACGTGGCCTTGTAATCATGAGAGGTGAATAGTTATTTTCAACCCCTTGAATAATGGTATCTTCTCTCTCTAAGAAGACCATTTTTTATTGATAAAGATAAAATGTACGTTGAAGATATAGAGAGAGAAAAATATGGCACGTTTAATGCCCCATGTTGTCCACCCACACGTATCAACATCTTCCACTTGGCCATGAGGGCCAAATACTTAGTGAGTTTAACATTTATGAGCATATTATTTTCATGAGGCTTTTCATGCTAATGCGATTATGCATCTCATAACATAAAAAAAATCCAAAGTCATATAATGGAGTTTTTCACGTTAATGCGACTTTTCCTCACATAATTAAGACATCATAGAAAAATATCCCATTTAGGAGTTCTAGACTTAAATATTCCTAAGTCCCATCAAAGCTACATGTTTTGAAAATATTTATGAACTTAATCCCTTTGTTAAAGAGTCTGCAATCATATCTGAAGATGGCAAATAACTTACAGTTATTTTATTCTTTCCAATAATATCATAAATATAATGATAATCAATTTCAATATGCTTACCCTTAGAACTATAAGCTCCATTTTTAATTGATGAGACAACAACTTGATTATCACAAAAAAATTTAACAGGTCTGTCGATTATATCTAGCCTCAAATCATTTATGAAGCATTCAATCCGGACGGTATAAGTTGTAGCAACGCTACAAGCACTATACTCGGCTTCCATAATATATCGAGCTACACAACTTTGTTTATTATAGACCAAGAAATACATCCACCTCCAAAGATGAATACAAATCCTGATGTTGATTTTCTATCATGTAGGTCTCTTGCAAAGTCTGCATCAGAGTACCTAGTAACCTTTAAGTTGTCAGCTTGGAAGAACAACTTGTAATTTTTAATTTTCTGAATATATCTGAGTATCCTTTTTACGGCTTGCCAATGAGCCATCCCAGGATTACTCTGAAATCTACTTACAGGACCATATGCATGGCTCAAATTAAGTCTTATACACAATATGAAATAATTTATGCATCCTATAGCTTGAACATATAGAATTCTTTCCATTTCAGCTTTGTCACTATCATTTAATGGACACATTTTTTTTGACAATTTTAAACTTTTACAAACTGGTGTATCTATGGGCTTGCAATTTTCTATCTTAAATCTCTTTAAAATACTTTATAAATTATTTTATTGAGATAAACATAGAAGTCTCGAACTTCTATCTTTTGTTATTTTAATGCCCAATACATATAAGACTTCTCCCATATCTTTCATCTCAAAATTAAAATTTAGTCATGATTTGGTATGATTAATCATGCCAATATCATTATTAGGTATTAAAATGTCTTCTACATAATATTACAATATAACAAAATTGCTCCCACTGTTTCAGATTTATACACAATGATCTAACCTATTGGCTACATAACCAATTTCAGTGATTGCAATATGGAAAGGGAGGTAGGGTAAACTATTTCTCTTAAGATAAACTATTTCTCACAATTGCATGGTGCAAATTCATCATTTATATAATTCTCTATGTGTAGTCATGCTACGCATGGATATTTTTATTTTTCTACTTTCTTTGTGACGTCGATGGTATTGATCTGATTGTATATGGCCCTGCTTTGATACCAATGTTGGATTATTGATGAGAAGAAGATGAAAATAATACCAAGCTCCTAAGATTAATGGCAATGTCGTAAGATTGTGGATCGCAGAGGTCAGGTTATACCAGAACAATGAGAACTCAATATCTTGTTGGCTACCTCTCTATAGCCATGAAACCGCTTCTCAAAGAGGAATAAGAAGATGTCATTCTCCAATGTTCGACTTCCTCCTTAAATTTTTGAGAAGTGTGGCCCTCTACTCTTGAAAAGTGGGTAGTTATTTTCAACCTGTTGGATAACAGCATATTTTCTCTCTAAGAAATTCATTTTTTATTGATAAAGATAAGATATACGATGAAGATAAAAAGAGAAAAAAATATGACACGTTTAATGCCCCATGGCCACCACACGTACCAACATTATAGAATATAAATGACTAATGAAAGTGGTCGAAAATGAATCATCCAACACAGTAATTCATTAAACTTACATGTCAACCCCTTCTCAAATATCAAATATCTACCGATGCAAAATTAGAAAAAAAAAAAAAAACAAAAGTCATATAAACAAACAAAGAAACAAAAAGACAACATAACCACTGTGGTGCTTCAAAAGGTGGACTTAATTTTTCGTAGAAAGGCAAAATAAATGTTCTGTCCCAAAGGCGGAAGACAATTTTCATCAAAAAAGAATAATAAAAAAAAACAACAAACATCGGCAAAAACCCAAAAAAAGGGAGGAAACAAAAGGAATATGTGACTTCACCTAAAACTGGTAATGCTCTAGAAAATCAATGGACTCAGGAAGAGGAGCCAAATTGATGGTATCCGAATCGACAAGCGGTGGGCTCGATGAGGGCGCACCCACCTCAACTTGGTTCGAGCCCTTCTGAACCTCTCCTACTCGCTTTGCCACATTCTCCCTAAGCCTCTCAACAGACTCGACCCAAGAGGTCAGTTCATGTGAGCCCAGGCTACCCACTTCAGCGTCCCACCAAAACCCTGACCCACCTGAATTCGGCATCTTCTTTCTCTGAGCCAAGGCCAAGCTCAGCTTCTTCTCTTCTTCTAGCTCTTTAACCAGTCGCGAATACTCGTCCATCAAGGGATTGTGTACGTGGGGGTAGTGTACGTTGGAGGGCTCTTCGTTGTTGTGGGTTCGGATGAATCGGTGGATGATGGAGTCGATGTCTGGATGGGCAAAGGGATACGGTCGGCCTGCAGGCGAGAAGGCGAGGATGGCGATGCTGGTGCCATATTTGATGCAGAGGTCGAAGGCCTTTCTTGAGAGGCCGTTTCGACGCTTGGAGAAGGTCACTTGGAGATTGTTTTTGTTTTCGATAAGTTTGATATCGATCTTCTTACGACCCATTCTCTTCTTCTCTGCGTTCTTGTTAATCATGAGAGAGAGTCAGAGAGAAACGGAAGAGAGAGAGAGAAAGAGTGGGTCCTGTGCAGAGAAAAAAGATAGGGTTTTATTGCCTATAGACAAGAGAGGAGAGAGAGAAGAGAGGAGATAGAAGACAGAAGAGAGAGGAGAGAGAGAGAGAGAGGAGAGAGGAGAGAGAGTTGGAAGTTCGTTAATGGGTTTCCAAAATCGGGAGAATCAGGGATATTAATTTGTTTATTTTATTATTAATTAATTGAAAACAATGTAAAATTTGCAGACAAATTAACACAAAACACGGAAAAAGAATCTAACACGGCCAGGCAACAACGAACTATGTAATGGAAAAAGAGATTTATGCAGTTGTGTGCCTGCAGGAGCACGGAGACAACCGTGCGCCTTCTTCTTTGGTAGGAGCTTTTACGGTGCTTTTGTAGGTGCCCACTGTTCATTTGTTTCCTCGGGCATATTGTTTTGTTTAAAATTTTGGTGTCTAGTTTGGAATCACTAGATGGTTATATTATAAACAAAAAAGCTTAAACTGTCAATCTAAATAAATATTTTATTTAGGGAATAAGTTTATAATATACATCTATGGAGCACAATATAGTCCCTCTATCTAAAGAGGTTAAAGGTTATATTTTTTGTGTGGATGACGTGTATTAATCGGAAAAAGGATATGGTGACGACGATGATGATGATTTTTTTGTGTGAGTGAGATAGTTTGAAACTTAAAGTTTGTTAGGAACTTATGGGAAAGGATTCTATACTTCTTCCATAATTGTGCTTCCCTTACCATAGCCGTCCAATTTTGATAAAGAGAGAGCCATAAACTGTTTGATATTAGATTCGATGTCTCAAACTATTTTATTTTTAACTTCTTTTACACAAATTGTACGAATATGAAATTTGGTACATATCATCTTCTCATTGGGGCACACCTTTAAAAAATATTAAAAATAATGTTCCTATAAAATATAATAACAAAAATACCCCTTGAAATTTTCAAAGGTATTTTGGTCGTTTTATTTTATTGGAAATATTTTGTTTATATTTTTCGCTAGTGCGAGTTTAATAGAGGATTGGATGTACGGAATTTGGTGTTAGAATAGTTTATAAAAAAAAACTTAAAATTAAAATAGTGTAAAGACGTGACTGTGTTGGAGCAATCTTAGCCATCCATTCAGAATGGACAGTTGGATAACGGGAAGTACATAAGTTTTATGTTATAGAGGAAATATAGAAAGCTTGCCCCAAACTTAATGGTTTGAAACTTACTTTTAAGAAAAGATAAGTGACTCAATATGAAAGTTAATGTTTCGAACCAATTTATTACAGAAAAGTATACAATGAGACCATTTATCTTTTGAACAAGGTGGTCACATTTAATCTTGACCTTTAGATGTGAAATTGGATGGTTTTATTTATTCCATTAACTAAGCAAAAGTTCAAAAGAAATTTTTTCGAACTTTGTGTGTGTATCAATTTTTACATTGGATGATTATAAGCAATTGTGACCTCTTTGTACAATAGGTAAATGGTCTCAATTTATACAATCTCATTTATTACTAAAAAAATATAAGGACCCGATTTCTATGTGGCCAAGCCCTCATATGTAGAAATACGGTCCTATTAATAAATGTATTTTTGAGATGGATTTTTGAATTAGACATGTGAATATGGAAAAATAAACAAATTTTGAAAACTAGAATTAATAATTCTAGTAAAAAAACATTTGGACCGTTAATTTCTATTGTTTTTAGATGGAACACCTACTTATATCCATCTTTAAGATCAACGCTTCACACTTTTTTGACCACATATGTAGTTATGGAGTGCAGCCCTCATGAAACTACTTTCCAAAATATAAATACAAGTGACCTTAACTTGAAATTCCAAATGGTCCTTTCACTAAAGAAAAGAACGTGATTTATTTTACCACTTATAGTTTCATCACTAAAAAAATAAATAAAAGGCGTGGTATTTCACTAAGAATAGACAGGCCCTGACTCTAGATATCAAGTTCTGAATTGGGGGTATTATAAAATAATAATAAAATATATATCTAATAAAATGAGACGAGTATAAAATATAAAATATAGTATTTTAAAAAACAATTATGTGATAGTAACATAAATTTCCTATTTCTATATGGGTGTGGTTTGTATAAGTCTGAGGCACTAAACAATCAAAATAAAACGTACTTTCAAAGAATGTCAAAGATGTATTAGTATCGAAAATTTTATGATGGCTTTAAAATTCATTTTTATCTTTAATTATAAAAGTTAAAGTTTAAAAAATAATGGAGATCAAGCAGATACATGAACACTTGAAAATCATAAAAATTGACAGTTATTACAAGATGCACTATGAACACTTGAAAATCATGAAAATTGACAGTTATTATAAGATGCACTATTTCGAAGAATTGAATTCCATCGATATACCTCAAGACATGCCAATCTATATGCAATGATCCTCGCTCAGCAGTCGCACATGAAGCCCACCCCAAATTGAAGTTATAATACGTGATGTTGTAAGGTCGGCATGTCAAAGTTTTGGTCATTGCAAGCCTCCAACCCTCATGCAAGAACAAGGTTTCTGAAAAGTGGCAGGTCAGATTGGAATTGCAAGCCTCCAACCCTCATCCAATTCTAAAAAAAAACTTCTTTTAAAAGGCTGTTTTAAGATGTATAAATATTTTTTAAAAAAATTTCAAGTTTAAAAAATAGTGCACCTTCAAATTTCGACCATCTATTTTCAAGGGAAAGGAGCTTTGAGTCATCATGGTAGCATCCCATACTCTAGTTATTTGTAGTTTTCATTCTCACCACTAACACCACCTCATTAATAATACTTTAAAAAAGCTAACTCCTAATCTATTTGGAAAAATGGGTGGGGATTTATCTTCTCCACTGAATTACCAAAAAAAAAAAAATCTATTTTCAAGATATTATGTATTTATAAATATACTTGATTTAAACCATTTTTTAAGTCTAAAATTTAATAATTAGATATTAAAATAGATTCTTAGGTCATCCTAAGAATTTTTTACACTAAAATTGCGTTTTAAAAAAAAAAAAACAATTGATGCCCCTTGATTTGATTGTTTAAGGTTTGCTTAAACAACACCCATTGATTAAACAAACACTCAAATGTGAAATATCCATCACAGCAAAATACAAAAAAGGATTATACAAACAAGGGAACAAAAAGACAACATAAACCGCTATATTGCAATGATCGTTGAAAAGGTGTTCGCACTTTTCATAGAAAGACAAAATAAATATTCTATCCCTATGAAGAAGAGCGAGAAATTGCAGGATTATTAGTAAAAAAAAAAGAAAATTGTTGTTTTTCTTTTGCGAAGAATAACAGAAAAGAGGAAACCCAACTGGTTTTACAGGCGCTTGATCCATTTCAATCCAAAGCCATCCATCATTCTTTACACAAACAAAAAGGGGAGAATGTAAAGGGCCAGCCCAACAATTTTCAGAGAAGGAAAAAAAAAATTGAAAACAGCAATGAACATGGATTCAAAACCCCAAGAGAAAGTGAAGAAAGAACAGAAATAATCAGATAATAGCTCTCAAGAAGCCATTTTCCATGTCACTTCACTTAAAACTTGTAATGCTCTAGAGAATCAATGAATTCAAGAAAACTCGTAATGCTCTAGAGAATCAATGAATTCAAGAAAACTCGTAATGCTCTAGAGAATCAATGAATTCAAGAAAACTCGTAATGCTCTAGAGAATCAATGAATTCAAGAAGAGGAACTGGTATCCGAATCCACAAATATTAGGCTCGAAGAGGGCGCGCCCACCTCCCCCCGGGTTTCTGAACCTCTTCGACTCGCTTCACCACATTCTCCCTAAGCCTCTCAACCCTCTCGGCCAACAATTTCAGGTCATCTAAACCCAGGCTATCCACTTCAGCGTCTCCTTCAAACCCTGACCGACCGAAATTTATCTGAGCCAAGGCCAAGCTCAGCCTCTCCTCTATTTTTAGCTCTTTAAGAAGCTGAAGATACTCGTCTTTGAAGGGATTGGGTCTGGTGGGGTAGTCTGTTTTGGAGGGCTCATGGTTGTTCTGGGTTCGAATGAAGCGGTTGATGATCGACACGATGTCCTGATCCGCAAAGGCATATGGTTCGCCTTCACTCGACAAGACGAGGATGGCGATGCTTGCGCCACAGTGGATGCAGAGGGCAAAGGCCTTGTCGAAGAGGTATTTTAGACGGTTGGTGAAGGTCCTTTGGCGATTATTCATTTTGTTTTCAATAAATTTCATATCAAAATTCTGACTACCTATTCTCTTTTTCTCTGAGTCCTTGTTAACTACGAGAGAGAGAATACAGAGAGTGATAGATTTCTCGAAAAAACGTGAACAGAAAGAGCCGAGAACAAGTGACAGAGACAGGGAGAAACGGAAGAGAAAGAGAGGGTCCTGTGCTTTTGGTTTGTAGGTATGGAAGAGAGAGAGAGAATCAAGATTCAAAAAAGAAAGAAACAGAGTTAGAGAGACAATCAAGATTCAAAAAAGTAAGAAACAGAGATAGAGAGAGAGAATCAAGATTAAAAAAGCACAGAGAGAGAGAGAGAGATGATTAGCAAAGCGAAGAGATATGACCTCCTGAGGAACTCCAGTAAGTGACCTTCCATGTGAAATATCTTTAGGGCTTTCTGCAAGACCCCCAATTGTAGAGGAGGGAGACAAGGAAGAAGGTAGAGAGAGAGAGAGAGAGAAGTGACACAGACAGAGAGCACTGTTCACTTGTTCCCTCGGGAATAATTTTCTTTTTGTTTAAAAATTTGGTGTCTGGTTTGGAATCACTAGATGGTTATCTTATAAAAATTTTAGACGAAAAAATATGTCTGAGGGAATAAGTTTACAATATGCACCTGCAGAGCACAATAAAGTCCTTCTTTCTAAAGCGATTAAAGGTATTTATTTTTTTGAGGGGAAGATGGTTTGAAATTTGAAGTTCCGCATTGAACTTAATGGCTTGAAACTTACTTTAAATTTTTTATTTTTTTTTTTGACAAAAAAACAACAAAGAAAAAAAACATAAAAAGAAAAAACTTTAATATTGGATTATACATACAAAGAGGTCACAATTACTTACAACTATCGGACGTGAAATGGTTACTTCCTAAACTATAAAAAAGAATATCATTGAGTGAGAATTTTAAAAAATTATTATACTAGTATATAATTATGGATAGAGCTGAGTAATTGTTATAAGGGACATGTTTATGTACCTTTTCTACTATATAGAAGTTCTATTCTCCTTCTCATCCACCCATCAAATTCAGATCAAATAAGTCATTGATCGTTTGATCTAGATTCGATGTCTCAACGTATTTTATTTTTAGTTTTTATTACAAAAATTATATAAATATAAAATTTAGTATGTGTCATCATCTCAATGAAACACACCTAAAAATAGTAAAACAAATAGTTTCAATAAAATAAAATGACCAAAATACCCATTAAACTTTCAGAGGTATTTTGTACTTTATATCGAGAATATTTTGTTTATATTCTTTGCCGGTGTGTTTAAGATAGAAGTGAGCTCAAAATTTGGTGTCAAAATATTTAGTAGGGAAAAAATAAATATAAAACAGTATTCAGACGTGACATTGTAATTAGATCCATCTCAACCGTTTATTTAGATCTGACGTACCATGTGATATTGTAATTAGATTCATGTCAGCTATTCATTCAAATCTGATGATTAGACAAGGGGAAATATATAACAACTATACATTAGGTTAAGTATAGAAAGTTTGTCCTTATAATAAAAAATCTATAGAGGACGACACCTTTCTAAATTTTGGATTAAATCTCAGTGTGCAATTGTTTAGATGAAGTTTCAATTGCTCAACTTAGAAAAAATGTAAATACACGTGACGCTAACTTGAAACTCCAAATGTGCCGTTCACTGAAAAAAAATTCATGGTTTATTTTACACCTTGAACTTCTAAATTGTTTTATCACTAAAAAAATATAAAAGGACCTGGAATTTCACTGAGAACAGAAAGGCCTCGTCTCGAAATATCAAGTTCTAGGGATCTTTGAATATAT